GCCCTGTTCCTAAGAGCAAAGCAAAAACAGATCTTGACTCGGAGCACCTGCTCCCTCTGGTCAGAAGAAACACAAACCAATATCACAAGTCCACTACAGGTTACCTTCACTGATTCAACTGCACCCAACTCCTTTCTCACACACCCTGAAACCACAAATGGATCCGCCATTCTTCCTCACAGTTCTGGAGCGACCCACTAGGTGTCATCCTTAGGCACCTCCTTACGCACAGTCTGGACTAATCATCATCCTATTGGTGTCACATGTGTCTACCTGTTCACCTGTGTATTTATGCCCTCACTTCCCTGTGTTCCCTTGCTCAGTTTTCTCTGCTAGTTTCTCTATGCTCAGCAGTACTAATCAGTGTCTGATCGTAGAAGTATGTACAGGTACTCGAGAAGTGTTCTCCCTGTTTCTTTATTATTTCAGTCATAGTTACTATTTCGTATTTTGGCTGTCAGCCTGTTTTTGGAGACTTATTTGCTCCACCTTTCTTTTATCGTGTTAAGTCTGTTGTTTTGTATCCTGGCTTCGGGACCACCAGTAAAGATCCTTGTTTCACCATCTCTGCCTACTGCCTACTGTCTATCCTGCACCGCACCTGGGTCACACCTCACACCAACCCTTACAGAAAACTGAGCCAATATGGACCCAGCGGAGGCAGTACAGTATCGGAGTGCATTGGCAACGCAGGGAGCTATGCTGAACACGACCGCAGCCTGCAGCAGATCACAGAGAATCTCCGCCAGCTGACAATCGCCGTGCAGAGCAGGGTGGACACCCGACCAGCCTCGGCAACCGGCAGAGCAGAAGCCGCGGCAGCGGCGTGTCCAATCTCACCTGCGACATCGCGGGAACCCCGCCTACCACCTCCGGAGAGGTATGACAGACGTCCAGAGGGCTGCAGGGAATTCCTCACCCAGTGTTCCCTGGTATTCAGCCTACAACCCTCCTCCTTCCCGACGGAGCAGGGCCGGGTGGCCTACATCATCACTCTGTTGATAGGTCGGGCCCTTTCCTGGGCTACCACAGAGTGGGAGAGCCAAACTCCGGCGTGCTCCGACTCCTACCAATTCACCTGGGAGATACGCAAGGTGTTCGACACCTCTCGGGTGGTGTCGGGGCACGAGGCCGGGAGGCGGCTCATGGCCTGTCGGCAGGGTGACCGTTCGGTGGCGGACTACTCGAGAGGCAGGATGGGAGGAGGCCGCCCTGGTCGTCCTTTACGCGCAGGGGATATCGGAGGGGATGAAGGACGAACTCTCCTTCAGGGAGCTGCCTGAGCGACTGGACGGCCTCGTCGACCTCTCGGTGCGGGTAGACAATAGGCGTCGTGAGAGGGCGCACGAGAGAGGGATGACGAGGCCGTATTCTGTTCTCTCCTCTCCTCTCCCTCTCTCCTTCTCCTCACCTCTCCTCATGGCCCTCACTCTACCGACCCTCAGAGTACTGCTCTCTCTAGCCATGCATTTTTGAATATGCTCAGACTGGGCCTGAGGGATGAATCACAACTCTGTGTGTCTGAGTCCATGGTCTGGAGGTACAGGGCAGAACATGGTGATCAGGTGACTGCTCACTGACTCATAACTAAGCAGAGTGGAGGAGACACAGGCAGAGGGAACCATTTAGCCAGCCAATGACACAGCCAAACTGACTAACTATGAGTGTTCATGAGTGTTCTCAATTAGGGCTGGTCACTGACTGAGTGAGCTCCGAACTCTCGTAACGTTCTAATTCCATTATTCCATTACGGCTAATGAGGGTCCAATCAGAAGGACGATCCAAGGCCAAGTCATCCCATTCGACCATGTCTTCTCAGTAAGCCGCTCTGTCATTGGTCCAGGTCAGCCGCGAAGCAGCACAGGAGGCAGCTCTCATGTCATGTCATCCCCCATGAAAGGAGATGATGATGAGGAGGAGCAGGATGAGGAGGAAGATGAGGAAGAGGAGGAAGAGGACTTACTTGCCTCGCCTCACTCCTCTCCTCTCTCATTTTCCCCCCATCCAGACCGCTCTCCATCTGTACTGGCACATTCTTCCTTTCTTCCCCTCTCCCTCCCAGCCATGCGATGGGGATTGTGACTTGTCTGTTATTAAAAAGGAATGCTCTGAAACAGGGGATTTGTTTCTGTCTCTGTTTATGGGGCTAAAAAAATCTGGGTCTTATTCCGTAAGCCCAGTTAAGCTCTCTCTTTTCTTTTTTTCTTCATCTATCCCTCTGCTCCCCCAAAAAAGAAAGTCATATATAGACCTTTATTCACTGTCTCCCCATCTGGTTTTATCCTTCGTTTTTGGATCAGAATGCATTTAAAGTAGACGAATTACAATGTATTCACGAATGACAATGTATACACTATATTCACTGTGATATGCAGATGTGAGTCTGAGTCTTAACTATGATATGTTAAGCATGTGCAGTGGGGCAAGAGAGAGAGAGGAGCACTGTTCACTGTTTAAGACTGTATGGATGTCTTTAACATGCACTGCCTGGGCTGCCTGTGCTGGCTGGCTGGCTGGCTGGTGCTCTAGTCGACTGGTTTAAGCTGGTATTGAAAGGCTGATCTCCTCGGCTCTCTGTGGTTGCATACCAAATGGCTCCCTATTTAGTGCACTACTTTTGACCAGAGCTGTATGGGCCCTGGTCAGATTAGTGCACTATAGGGAATAGGGTACCATTTGGGATGCATCCTTTGCTGTCACACACATCACATTCTGCAGCCCCGGCACACCATTGCATTACTCCTCATTAGCATCAGTGTGGCCTGTCAAGTGAGAGAGAGGGAGAGCAAGACTAGGGCCCATTAAATACTACCAACGCAGCATAACCTCACTCTCCGGTACTGGAGGCCTCTCCCACGGGCCCTCCTCTCCTCCGTCAGTCGTCCACCAGTCTTTCCTCTCCTTCTCTTCTGTTCTGGATAGAGGGATGAGATGCAGGATTTAAGTGGCCTCCGTACGGGCAGACCAGCAGATGGAAGACAAGCCAAGAGGACAAGTGTTGTTTTTCTTTCACTGCGTGAGGGACCAGCGAGCCGAAACAGTCCACATCTTCTCTCTCAGAGTGGGGACTACTGTAACTAACAGGCCACATCTTCTCTCTCAGAGTGGGGGCTACTGTAACTAACAGGCCACATCTTCTCTCTCAGAGTGGGGGCTACTGTAACTAACAGGCCACATCTTCTCTCTCAGAGTGGGGGCTACTGTAACTAACAGGCCACATCTTCTCTCTCAGAGTGGGGGCTACTGTAACTAACAGGCCACATCTTCTCTCTCAGAGTGGGGGCTACTGTAACTAACAGGCCACATCTGAACTGTTGAATCAATCCAGGCTCAAGCCCCTACTATAACTAGCCCTGTTAGACAAGCTGGATGGGACATGGACCTGTCCATTTAAGGGGATCCACGGGGAGATGGGGTGGTTGTGGTCGAGATGTCCTGGTTGTTCAGAGGAGTAGGAGTCAACACATGGAGAGGCAGTGCCAGGAGTATGGGTTTGCTTCTTCCTGACAGAGACCGACAGAGACAGACCCAGAAAACCTGAGCCTACGCCTTCACTATGGTGAATCACTAAAACAATACAGAAATACACTACGGAAAAAGAAGGAACAGCACGTCAGAAATCAGCTCAATGTAATTGAAGAATCCATAGAATCAAACCACTTCTGGGAAAATTGGAAAACAACAACACAAAGAGTTATCTATCCAAAATGGAGATGTATGGATAAACCTCTTCTCCAATCTTTTTGGCCCTATTACAAACAGCAAAAACTTACACATGATCAAATAAAAATCTTAGAATCAACTATTAAAGACTACCAGAACCAACTGGATTCTCCAAATACATTGAATGAACTCCAGGACAAAATACAAACCCTCAAACCCAAAAAGGCCTGTGGGGTTGATGGTATCCTAAATAATAAAATATACAGACCACAAATTCCAATTGGCTATACTTAAACTCTTTAACATCATCCTCAGCTCTGGCATATTCACCAATATTTGGAACCAAGGACTGATCACCCCATTCCACAAAAGTGGAGACAAATTTGACCCCAATAACTACTGTGGGATATGCATCAACAGCAATCTTTGGAAAATCCTCTGCATTATTATTAGAAAACAAATCCAATTTTGATAAACTCCCATATCTATTGGGTGAAATACTACAGTGTGCAATCACAGCAGCAAAATTGGTGACCTGTTGCCACAAGAAAAGCACAACAAGTGAAGAACAAATACCATTGTAAATACAGCCTATATTTATGTTTATTTATTTTCCCTTTTGTACTTTAACTATTTGCACATCATTACAACACTATAGACATAATATGACACTTGAAATGTCTTTATTCATTTGGAACTTTCAAATTGAAATTGAATTGACAAACAAACACAGACACACACACACACACACACTGTCCACAGTTCTGATAGAAAACAGTGTAACCGTTCAGAAACCCTGATGCTTGGAAACCTCCTTCGCTTTAGTCTGTTCAGCATCACAGTCCTTTCAAACTTACTGACTCTGTTCTGACTCTCTTCTCTCCAATAGCCTCTTGGCCCTGTTCTCCCAGTCTGGCAGTCGGCTCGTATAAATATAATAACGATCAGTAATGTTACAGCAGTTCATGATTACTTTATGAAGCTCTAATTTTTTTATGCAGCTGTGTACTATTTTAAATTCAATCTAATATCATCTTTTTTTCTGTTTTGAATATGAGGAGACTCCATTCCATTCAATATTCACTTTTATCGAATAAGCTCTCCCAATCGCAGAAAATTAAGTTGTCATCCAGTGTCCTTTTTTATCAGTAGAATATCATTCCGTACATCTGCTGTTTATTAAATGTCAGTCATAGTTTGATGAGGTGCGGGCTAAAGGTGCTTTCCAATAACTATTTTATATCGTCAGAATTTGTTACTTGCAGTACAGTTTATTTTTATACTAAAAGTACATTATTTCTGTATGCGCTGTACTATTCCACACAAGAAGTTCCCTAATGAAAAAGATAAAGTTTGAATTGAACGTTACTGACCGTTCCCTCTCTTCTCAGGTGGACTTGGGTTTCCTCCGGTTTGTTTCGGCCATCGGAACACAGGGGGCCGTTTCCCAGGAGACCAAGAAAACCTACTGGATCAAGTCCTACAAGGTGGACGTCAGCTCTAACGGAGAAGACTGGATCACACTGAAGGAGGGGTCAAAACAGAAGGTAAGAGAGATTACTCCTCACCCACTCTGTACCCCACTGCCCACCTCTAAGATTGCAAGGTGTCATAAGCACATCAACTTTTCCTATACTTCAGCACTGTATGTATTACTGGAGAAGTAGCAGTAGTAATAGAATAGTATAGTAAAAGCAGAAGACATGACCAACCAGACCCAGTACTTTAAATAGCCAGTCATGTTTAAACTAATAGTCAGCCAGAGTTGAATTATGGTCTCCTCCTTAATATTGGCTTGGAACTCTGCCTCAGCCACACCATAGCTCAACAAAAGGGGAATGCCCCTGGTCTGGTCTGTGTTCTGTTCTGTCTGTGTAGAACAAACATTTTCCCACAATAATATTATGTGCTTAGCATGGTATGCTATTACACACAACGTTGTGTGAGAGAGACTGTATTTACAGTGCAGTGCTACTGCCTGTCTTATAAAGAGACTACAGTAAGTCGGCAGGAGGCAGTAGTCATTTAGTGAGGGCTGGATGAAGTCATTGTTTACTGTGTGTCAGGCTCTGGTATTTGTCTGAAGAAGGAGAGGGGTTAACAAAGGCTTTAATAAACCAGGAGTGAGATGGATGAATGGAATGGGGAGGAGAGAGAGAGAGAAATAGATGAATTGATGGAAAGAGGAGAGGTTCCATGTTTGAGCAGCTGGTAGAGGTGGCTAATAGTGAAATAGAGAGAGAGACAAAAAGAGAGAGCGAGATGGAGATAGAGACTCGACCAGAGCGTGACTAACCTAACGATCGATCACTGATCAGCCTGTCAAACAGACCAGCAGGCTCTCCATCTGTAAACAAACCTCTCTTTGTGGGTGTTCACACTCTACAGGGCCATCGAGATGTTAGTTTGACCAGCCTAAGGATCTGTGTAACCTGTTAACAGTCACCATTGTGTACCTCTCCAAAGTATACAGTTCTCTTTTTAAAGCACTGGGTGCTTAAAGGTGATGTGGAAAACCATGTTTCTCTGTTTCCGGCCTCTAAAGTGCTTTTGTGAGGAGTGGGTCCCATTTACTAGTTGCTGAGCCTGCAGTTTGTAGCTTTAGCGTGATGGTGATGGCACTAGCTAGCTGGAAAAAGCCAGCTAATACGACAGAGAGAGAGGAACTCCGACCGGCATGACATTTAAGAGTGGATAACTATATATTTTTGTCATTCCTTCATTCCGTTACTCAGTTGATGACTATTATCTATAGGGAACCAGGAGTGGGGAGTAGGGACAGGGAAGTGAGGATAGGGACAGGGAAGTGAGGATAGGGACAGGGAAAGGAAGGCTCTTGGATGGACTAAAGGTTCCATTGGTCCTGCCTGCTGATGTTTCATAGCTGCCACCGTCACGTACACTTCAGCCCAGATTAGGTTTACACTGCTACTGATTGGCTAGCACTCTCCTCCCATGGGGTTTACACCACCGTACCACCGGACGCCTACAGAGTACAGAGTCACTCAGTCAGACAGGTCAAACAGGTCACACCATCACTGTGAGACTAAAGGTGTGTGTGTGTATATGTGTGTGTGTGTGTGTGTGTGTGTGTGTGTGTGTGTGTGTGTGTGTGTGTGTGTGTGTGTGTGTGTGTGTGTGTGTGTGTCTGTGTGTGTGTGTGTACACATTTTGTTATACTTGTGAGTACCAGAAGTCCACACAAGAATAGTAAACCAACTAAAATTCTGAGAAGTGAGGACATTATGCCAGTCCTGTGTATGTGTGTGTGTGTATGTGTGTGTGTGTGTGAGTGTGTGTGTGTGTGTGTGTAAGACACATATGAACTGACCCTGGGTCTGTGGATAGTGACATCATCACTGACCTTTATCCAAGACCTGTAATAAAAGTTGTTCAGATTACTGATGGAGTAGAAGAATGGGCACTATCCTGTACTGTACACTCATCTGTCTGTGTCTGTCCTTTCTTGAAGTCATTTATTACATTTATGTATTAATTTAGTTGACATTTCATCAACACTCAGTTTGGTGGTACCTCATTTTGGTGGTAAAATTGTAGGTTAGAAGATTGAATTCCCGTGTTGCTTTTTGCAGCGGTGTTACAAGTCAAATATTTAATGTGGCCATTAAAATAAATGACATGCTGTCTGGGGCACTGTGTGAGGCGAGTCCAGGCCTCAGTTGGCCCAGTAGGCCTCTCTCCTGGTGAATCTACATCACGTACTAAACAAACTGTGAATAACTAACAACTTATTGTCTCCATCCCAGATTTTCCAAGGGAACACCAACCCTACTGACGTGACCAGGACGATGCTTCCCAAACCCACTCTCACCCGCTTCGTCCGGGTCCGGCCCGTTGCCTGGGAAACGGGCATTGCTCTGCGCTTCGAGGTGTACGGCTGTAAGATATCAGGTCAGTACCATAGAGATCCCAGCGTTTCACACTGTCTGGCACTGGCAGGCCAGACACTACTTAGCGATGTTAGTTTGCCATCCAAATGACAAAACAACATTCAAATGCATGCAAGTCACTGTTGATGATATTTTTTTTTACCCTATTTTACCTTTTTGGTAAAATGAGTAAGTGCTATTTTTGCACAGGGCTCCTTTGGGATTTGTTTAGGCCTTTCGTCTCATGTAACCTACCTGGTTGATATTTTCCTCCTCTTCTTAGCTGAAATGGTTTACTAACTCACAGTAGTGAGAGCCCAGTGAGAGAGGGTTTACTCTGAGGCAAGTGCTGACTTCTACATTATGAAGGAGAGGCACATGAAGATGATTACGTATTTATGTTACCTGATGTTTGAATGTACCTCATTCAATATGGATGACTTCAACAGCAGGCAGGCAGAGCTCTTGGAGCAGGGGGTAGGCAAGCGCCTTCCCCTAGCTGAGTGCTGCTGCTTCTACTGTGTAGACACACACACACACACCACCTCCATGGCTCTGGTCCACCCGCCTGTCCCTCCTCCCCAACCTCCCTAGCCTCAGTCCCCCGCTGCAGTGATCCTCGTCAGTGTGATGTTGGAACCTTTCTACCCACTGCAAGGCTTTGATTGTGGCTGGGTTCATATTGTCACTGCCCATTTTGTCAACATGCATTTATTTTATGGGCATGTGAAAGGCTTTATGTGTGTGGGGGGTTCTTTTTCATGTGTGTGCATTTGTTTGTCTGCAATTCTGTCTGTGTTCTCTTGCTTTTGAATGTTTATTAGTATTTGTGCTTGTTAGTGTGTCTGAGAGCCTGTGCCTTTTATGTGTGTGCGTCTCTGTGCATTTGAGTGTTTGTGCGTGTGTGTCTATGTGTGTGAATCTACATATATGTGCATCTGTGGCAGAGAGGAGGGCAGTGCAGTGCTGGCACACAGCTGGGGAGCGGCAGTGTTTGGGGCGTGCGACCAGACCGCACTGCAGACACACACACACACACACACACACACACACACACACACACACACACACACACACACACACAAAGACCACACTGCAGACACATCATAGGAGCAGGGAGCTCCACAGGGCCCCTCTGTGCTGTCATCAGCCTGTGGCGGGCATAGCACCACTCTGATCATGCTGCCAGCTGGGATGTTCTGCAGGCACTCAGAGAGCGGGAGAGAGGTCTTGTAATGCTCAAGTCAGGTTTGAGAGGGTTCCAAATATATATTCTTATGCACGTGATTTCAGAATTTGCTCGGTAGCTAGATTTCCATCCAATTGGCAACAGATTTTTATACAAATACTCTAGAATCCGGATAAAGAAAATATGCACATTTTCCCACCAGTGGTATGTTTTCACCAATTGCACTTTTTGCTGATAAAAATCAATGCGTGGTGATGTAGTGCACACAAAATTTACTTTTTCGCTTAAGTTTTCATGTACTGAATAAAAATGTAAAGTTCAATATATTTCCATCCTATTTTCAACTCTACTGATATTTTTGTCACAATAAACAGTTGCGTTAAATAGCAAATGTGCCTACTCTGTTCTTGGCACCTGCACTCTAGCCAACAGCTGGCAGATACAGTGCGGGTAGGCTGTTCGGGGTCTCTAGTCTACATGATGAGGTTATTATGGATAAGAGCGAGAATATTTGTATTTGTCAAACGGTAGTCCAGCATCGATCATCATGTCACCAGAATGACACCCTTGATATTTATTGGAAAGTGCACTTTCACCACCCTGTGAAGTTCATCATAACTTATTTAATCTGTAGCCTTTCCCGAGTCATAGTGGGGGGACCACACATCATATCATTGCTTGACTCCAAGTTTACTTCGATATGATGGTTATTATATAAATATTTGAGCATAAAGGCATTTCCACCGCCATTTCTCACATTATTAATTAATTTTAGAGACACAAAAAGATCCCACAATGTGGGACAAACAAATTATCTGTCGGCATTTATAAAATTGTACCGAAACGTCCTGTTTCCATCACAGCTGTCGTGACTTTTTTTATACGGTATGACTTTACTCGCAAAAAAACTGTGGATGGAAACATGGTTAGTGTTCCAAAATGGGATTCTTACGCAACAGGACAGTTAACGCGCACTGCCCGTAAAAACCAAGGCACACTGCCTGCTAATAATCTATAGGCTATCTTTCAACTTGTACATTTTACAACAGTTTGAAATTAGGTGCGTTCCTCCTCCTCATTAATTCACATAGAAGTAGCCCATTTCACTGTGGCGGACAACTTACATTTGAGGCATGCTATGCTGATGTAAGACAAGGATTAGCTAGATGAGGCGGACAAACTTCTCTCTTCAATGAGAGCTCAATGGCCCAAGCATTCCACCAGTGTTTCCTCAGGTCAAGTATGCAGACATTTGCACATCTCCAGTCAGAACAGAACAGAACCTGCCCGAACTTTTTCACCCTGGCTTTATTGCCTTTATTGTTGTTTTCCTTACTAGTAATTACTCTGTGCGTTCGTATCAAAGTAAGTGCCTTATTACTTTATCATAATACAGTTTCTGTATATTGTGTTATGTCATTTCTACTGTAGCTCACCATATTTATGTATGGAGCATAATGTATTCTGTGTGTATTCCTTTATAACCACGGACAAGCAAGGTACTGATTTCATAACCTTCATGGTTATACTGAATTGTGCTTATGTAGTTACATTTTTCTATTAGTTCTGTAAAACAATGCTAATGCTAATGGCATCGAATAAGTATTAGCAAAGATTTTTATAACTAACCCAAGATAGACCAGAGCCTGTCGTTTCCAATGGGAGCAAATTAATCATAGTGGGCAGAACAAGCAAGGAGGTGGGCAGAACAAGTAAGGAGGTGGGCAGAGCCAAGCATGAGCTAGTAATATCCTATTGGTGCGTTCTAGCATTTATTTGAATATTTCTGTTAGGGAATGCCTACCCTGTGAAGTGTGTGCTGTGCAAAAACTTGTGTTGTATCCTGAAGCTACCCAGGCTGGCCTTATCATGACCATTGCATTGGCCTGTATTTGGCCTGCATAGCTATGCCCTGCCCCCTTGTGGAGCTCTAAAGTTATTATGTTACATGTCATAGTGTTTTATTGCTATATCCTGATATTGTATTCTAATTACTAATAATTCCTCTTTATTCTGTATTTCAGAAACCACACACACACACAGTATTGAACATAACTTGCCAACATCATAACAGGAATTGAACATATTTTGTGCTGAAGATTGTGCCGAGCTTTTGTATGCTAGCAACATACTGTTTGGAGTAGGTGTAGGGAGGATGAGGGAGTGGAGAGGATGATGAGGGAGTGGGGAGGTGGGTGAGATATTGTCAATATAATTGCATAATGGAACTATATTTGATTTGTATGTGAACTGTATGTCCAATTACAAAAAAAAGGGTCTTTGCACTCAAGACTGGGACTCATCAAAACCAAGAGCAGGGCCAGGAGGGGTGAAATGTCTGGAGTCCTTCCAGCTACCGCAGACCTACTGTACTTCACCCACTGTTGGTCTGCCTACATCACCAAAAACATAATCATTGTCAAAATCTACAAAGATCTACAGAATTTCCGCATTTGTGAGTTGTCTCCTTTTGAAAGACATTGCTAATGCTACAGCTTAGCCCACTAGCTACATAGGCTACATAAACAACAACAATGAATGGATCCGAGTGTCAGTTGACGGGATTGGCTGCCGGTGTGGTGATACTGATGATTTGTCTCCACAGATTGTTTGTTTACATAGCAGGTTAGGATAATTAACGTGGCAGGTTAGGAGAACTAATGCAGCAGGTTAGGTGAATTAACATAGGAGGTTAAGATAATGAGGTTAAGGTTAGGAAAAGGGTTAGGCTTAGCTACAATGCTACAGTTGTCAACAGCTGTTGTCCCCGACGCGACCACGAGATAGAGCTGTTGTAGGCCTAGCTACTCCATCTAGCCACAATGGTGGAAACATAAACAATCCATCTGTGGCAACAAATCATCAGTATCATAACAATGGCACTTGTATCAATAAATCACTATTAGAAAATGGTTTGTGTGATAATCATTTCTTTATTTACTGTTTTATTCACGTTTTCAAGTACTGGTGACAAATCATTCATTCCAATTCTTGCATAGATTGTAATGGACACGTGTATTAAATACTTTTTTGAGGGTTGTACTGATTATGATAAGCTAAGCTATTTGCCAGCTATATGTGGATCCATGTTTGTTGACATCATTCAAAGCATTCTGGGTGTCACGTAAACGTCTGTCAGACCAAAGATGTTATAGCAAAACGAGGTGAAGGGATGGTTCACTCATCTTTCGAGTAAACTTCCAGAAATGAATGATGGGATGTGAATGATGGTAGACGACACACCCCCTTCGCCTTCAACATGCATACTGCAAACAAACCCAACTCATCTTGTCACCTCTTCTTATCTTTGGTTGACAAAGAAAAACGAACATGGCGGCATGCACAAACTAACCACCGTCGGTTTACTTTCGAATTTTAGAAAGTGTTTTACTCAATTATTTCGACCACTGGTGCACCTGTGATGTGATGAACTGTAAATAGTAATTAAGCAATAAGGTACAAGAGGCAGTGCTGTATCATGAATACAGTTACAGGTAAATGGAGTTCTTCGTCAACCCATTTACCAGTGACTGTATTCATGATACAGCACTGCCTCGCGTGCATTATTGCTTTTATAAAACTGTTACCAACATATCAAAATAAAGTTTTAATGAAAATGTGTAATAATTGTTATTTAATAAGTCAATTTATACAATTTCATTCTTCTACCAGAAGACATAAAAATCTGGTTATTAGTTCTTAAAAAATGGTTGCTATGCAGCTTAGATAAGGTTCTTATCACATGCTAGCTAGCTAGCCAACTGCAGTTAACATTGAACCTGGAATAACAGTACACAAGCTGCATTTACTTTGTTTGAGCTTTTTTCTATTGGCATTTACTTGGATATGTCCATGATAATGACGTTGATGCGTGATTTCGAATGGCTCAGAAAATGTTGTCTCTTCTCGTCTGGGCACTGTTCACTCTGATACTACAGAGATCGAAATTAAAAGGTGAAACAGGCTTATAACCCCCGCTGTACCAAACTAAATGCTCGGCTGGAAGCAAGGGGAAAATAATGTGCAAGTTGAGATAAATATAAGAGATGATTCGGACAGCAACATGAACATGATATTCTTATGGAGGCGCAGTGATAATTTTCAGATTAGCAGGCATACAGTAGGTGTGTCTGTAAGGGCCAATACAGCACGGCATGGAACGCTGCTCATCCAATCAGCATCCAGGATCCAAACAACCAGTCTTATAATTAAGTGATAATGCCAGAGAAGCCGATGTTTGGAGGATATATTGGCACGGGTGTTGTTAGGTGATCCGAGGGCATTATCACTTTATACAAAGGGTTACCAACATATTGAAATCATAATTGACATATTTTCATTAAAAACTTTATTTTGAATTATTTATTCATACTATTATTTCATCCTTCCACAAGATATAGTCCTGACACAAATCTAGGTTTGCTACCCAAGCCGGCTGGTCCTTCGTTCTATCGGTTCGGTTGCTAGAGACGCGACCTAGTCGTTCAGTCTTTTTGTTCTGTATCTAAGTGTTCCATACTGGCTGGCAACGCTCTTATCCTTTGCTTGCTAGCTAGCCAACTACGGCTAATTTACAGTTAAGCTGTTTTCTAGAGACATTTATATGGACACATCCATAACAATGAGCTAATGAGGCGCGATTTCGCCTGGCATAGAAAATGTGCTCACTCGTCAGGAAACTGATGAGGAGCTAGCCAACAACACTTCAAACTGAAGCTGGAAAGAAGGCAAACTAGCTGCACTTCGTTTCGTTTTACCTTTTTTCAATTGACATTTTCTTTGTATATATCCATAAAAATGATGCCAGCTGATTCATGATTTAGACTGGTTGAGAAACGTTGCCTGCCTGTATGACTCGTCCCGACTCCCGACACGTTTATTAATAAGGGACAGCTGGAGATTGAATTTGAATATTGAAACAATGTTGCAAATGTTGGAGAGACTAAATGTTAGTCTAAAAGAAATGTGAGATAATGTCTAGATGCTTTTTATAGTGGAGATCAAGTTTATAAATTGCTTGACAGAGCTGATGAGACAGTGGATTGCTCAGTCAGATGGAACAGAGTAAATAGTCATTTTAACGTCATAGATTTAGCCAGTGGTAACATGTGGAATAGACACCGGCCGGAATGCGGTTTTAACCAATCAGCATTCAGGATTAGACCCACCCGTTGCATAATTACTATTAGCTGAGAGTTGGCTAAATATAACCGCTTGTGTTAGCTCACCCTTTACTCAGTTAGCGCTAGGACTAATGTAGCCTACATTTTCCGGTTTGGATGACGATAGTTATGCTGTTGCTACTTCTGTGACTGTCTGAACATTGCATCCAGAAATAAACTATTCACATTGAGGACATAACCTTGTAAAGACTGTGTTTGTGCAAAATGTTTCTGTGAAAAAACTGTGGCCAGCTCAAACGCTGACTGTTGCGTCAATCGTAACTAGATGTTCTAATGAAGTGTTCTAAATACACCGGTTTGAGCATATGCTGCAGGGACCACTGTAGAATGATCACACCCACGTGTTCATAAGGGTCAAAGGGGTTTTAAGGCTGTTTTCAGCTTTCAGTCCTACTGCTCCACTTGGCAATCCTATAACCAAATACATTCAGAGAGAATCATCATTTAATGAGATTACTGACAGTATACAAATGCTTTTCATGAGATACCAAAGTGGTCCATTCTAAGCCCACAGAAAAACAGGGCCTTCAGGCTGTGTCTAATCACATCTGGTCTTTGCACATGTGAGATGTGCTCTGCGGTCAGAGATACACAGCTACTTATTAATACCTTAACCTCATCCCTGCTGACTGCTGACTCTCTGCTGTTCTGTTGGTAAATCAGCCCATGTGTGTGTTTAGCCACAGAATTCTCCACCCAAACCCTGGGTTACCCTGCCCAGACATGTCCCTTGCAGTGGCGTTCCACCACACACACACATATACACGGTCGGTGTGTCCGCCATGCGTGCCGTCCCAAACAATCTCCAACAAGACAGCTGAGGTGCATTAACAGCTCATGAGAACAGTTTGGGTGGCTCTGATCACCCAAACTTCCCAACCCCCTGGAACCCCCCTCTAACTCTGTCTTATCCATCCACTTCAAAGAGCAAGAGTGCGAGCCACCGCAGTGGAGTGCCTTAGCCTCCCTCTGACATGGCACTATCAGAGATCACACTCACAGGGCTCTTGGCAGGTGACGAAAGGGAACCCTCAAACGGATGACAAATCTCCCAATGAGCGTTTGGACCTGTCTTGAGGAACCATGGAGTTCTCTCTGATTTGATTTGGACTAGTTTATTCTCTGATTCGAACAGGAACTGCATTAGATAACTATAACGACAGAGACAGGACTGAAATTAAGCCTTTTTCTGATGAGTTGGCAGAGTTACACTGAGTTTGATACAGATGCAGACTTTCCAATAATGTATCTGCTTTTATCCCTCTCCCTGGGAGCAGATTGTAAAGATGATATTGGTTACTGCAGGTCACTGCAGACTCAGACGCTTTTGATCAAGTGGAAGGAAATAGAAGAGACGGCCAGCCAGGAGACAGACAAGACAGCCAGCATGTGCGTGTGTGGGTTCATTGAGGGAACATTTCTGCGAGCAAACGAAACGGTAAAATCGGTACTGGCAGCATGCAGTTAGGGCATAAGAAACATAGAATTAAAGGTAGAATGCACAAGGTTCTCAAGGGGGTGAAAATGAACTAGCGCAGATTCAGGATGAAAGCAATGAGAACACAGGGCTAAATGAGAGCGGAGGTATAGAAAGACAAAAGGAAAGGGGAGATAACGGGGATAGAGGGAGGGAGGGGGTTAGAGATGAAAGAAAATCTCTCCCAGAATGCATAGGTGTAGAAACTAACGCCGAAGGAGAGGATTGTTTTAATTGGCTGCCGGGAGACAATCACTGCAGGCGGAGAGATTAGTATGCAAGACGTCAGGAGAGAGGTAGAGTGTGTGAGAGAGAGAGAGAGAGAGAGAGAGAGAGAGAGAGAGAGAGAGAGAGAGAGAGAGAGAGAGAGAGAGAGAGGGGGTGTGGGAGAGGGAGAGAGAGAGAGAGAAGTGGCTAAAGAGGTGGAGGCATCACAGAAACTGTTTCTCACACCATCCCTACTCATCAGTATAACTCACTGTCTCAATCATTCCCCTCATCCCTATCTTTCCCTCCATAAACACATAAACCATGAAGAACAACCTTCTCTGGCTGCTGATACAAATAATTTATTGGTTCTCTCTCAAATCACCTCTTGCTCAATTAAAGACTTCTGCTAACTCCTCTCTCTCCCTCTCACTCTCACACTCTCAGAGTACCCATGTTCGGGCATTCTTGGCATGGTGTCAGGTCTGATCACAGATGCCCAGATCACAGCTTCGTCCCACACTGACCGGAGCTGGGTACCTGAGAACGCCCGCCTGCTGACCAGCCGCTCCGGGTGGACCCTGCTGCCCCAGCCCCAGCCCTTCACCTCAGAGTGGCTACAGGTTAGATCACCTACAATAATATACTTTTCTTATGTTTTTAATCTCTTTGTAATTGGAGAATGGTTTGATGGTTATGATATATTGGTTCATATACAGTAACATATCACAAGAAATGTCCGTTTTCTGAGAATATATTCTGCATCCACGTACAAAGAATTTGGCCAGAATTATGATGACATTACAAATAAACAGTTTGGTAATGCTTTACTTAAGGCATACAGGTATAATGCATTATGATTATGTCATAATGCGTTATAAGACTTGTCATGCATATCTATGAACTGCTTATAAGGCATTTAATCTCCATTCATCTGCAGGTGGATCTGGGGGAGGAGAAGCTGGTGAGAGGACTCATTATCCAGGGAGGGAAACACAGAGAGAACAAGGTGTTCATGAAGAAGTTCAGACTGGGATACAGTAACAATGGATCTGATTGGAAGATGGTCCAGGACGCTAATGGCAACAAGCCAAAGGTGAGAGGAAGGACGGTTTTGATTGGTTGTTTGTTTGTTTGTTGTGTTTACCATGTTGAGGAGTTGACAAAAAATAGGGGTTGGTTGACTAACTAATGGAAAATGATCTTCATATTTTCAACTGAAAACCATCCACAGAGATACAGTGACATTGATACAGGTAATAATCCATTAATTAAGTTTTCACACAATCCCTGTCCTGTTGCCGTTGAATCATTTACGGAGTCCATTTGGGTAGTACTCTATAGCACATTAGTATAACCATCTGTAATGCTTCTCCTAGTGCTACTGCTGCCTAGCGTCCTTCCTCTTAATATTCTACTGGTGTTGCTCAAGCCTTTCAGTGGAGTTCTGCTCTTCTCAAGAGAGAGGAGAGGTGAGAAGAGGCAGCAGAGCTGAGAGAGAGCATCTGACACGCAGAAACGACCCCAGATGTATCTGCCGGCGTCGATATGCTTTGACCGTGTCACACACACACATACCTTTCCAGGAAGTACCACTACAGCCCGTCCTCAATTACAACCTCCTTCGACAGGATATAAATGTGTTCCAGATGGCCTGATGGTTGATTTATGAAGGAGTGAGAGGCTCGATATCCACCAGTCCTACATATCCCTCCTTTCTCTTCCTCTCTCTTTCCGTCTCTCCCTTTTTCCCTAAGAACCTCTGAGCATCAAAGACAGACAAGACTTGTTTCTGTGTTAACGGCCATTAATCCACTGCATTCCATCACTCTCCTCTCCTATACTGTCCTCTCCTCTATGTCTACCTCTGTTATTCCCAAAGAGAATCCCCCTTTCTTTCAGAAGACAACTTCAGAGGCTGAGCAGAGAGAGACAGCATCAACCCTCTCCTTTCCTCTATTGTACCTCTTCTCTACGTTATTACCAAAGAAAGGGCCCCAAGCCTCTCACTTTCTCTTTACTCTAAGTAGAGAACTTCAGAGGCTGAGCAGAGAGCTAAGTCTGTCTTTGACTGCTGTGTCCTGCTGGGCGTCTGGTGCTAGTTGTAGCCACCGGGCTCTTGTTTGCAGTCCCACTGACAGCACTTTAGATGTCAGCCAGAAAAATCTGGTCAATGTTCCATTGTTTTCTCCCCCCTCTCAGCCTTGCTCAAGCCCTGCTCCTTTTCAGAAGGAAGAAATAAGCATGCTTTTGTGCCTCTGTGATAGGAGAGAGATATCAGACAGAGCAATGACATTATCAGACAGTAATATTGCGCTCTCTCTCTCTGTATCTCTCTTTTTTTATCTCTCTGTATCTCTCTCTGAATGTATCTGTCTCGCTCTATATCTCTCTTGCTTTGTATGTACAATAGCTAAATGGTGCCAATAAAGGGTTATAAAAATAACAATACATCTCTCTACCTCTCTCTACATCTGTTTCTCTCTCTCTCTGTCTCCCTCTCTCTCCACAGATTTTCGAGGGGAATCAGAACTACGATACACCAGAGCTGAGGACTGTGGAGCCCTTGCTGACCCGCTATGTCAGGGTCTACCCAGAGAGGTCCACCGCTGCTGGGATGGGCCTGCGACTCGAGCTCCTGGGCTGTGAGATCGAAGGTAAGCCTCAAATGGAATCCTACACACACACACACATTTTAATTGTAGGCACACACACACACAGTACATCTTCTATCATCCGTGTGATGACAGTTTTAGAGCTGAATGCATGGTGTTTGTCGAGGTGGGGGTATTTAAAGAAGCTTCTGATTATTCCCCCTGTGGAGTCAACAGCTGTCCTAGGCCCACTAGGCACCACTATCTCCCTGAGAGGACAGTTGTCTTGTCTCCATGCATGCTGCATCAAAGCTTTTCCTGAAGCAAGACCACTCATGCACATTACACATGGGATCAAATGAAACCCCACCTGGCCTGAGGATTACTGCAAGCCCCTTCTAGTCCCTGTTCCATCCTTTCTCTGGGGCCTCTCTCACACCCTTCGCTCTCTCCCTCTCCCCCTTTCTCTCCCTCTCTCTCGCTTTCTACCTCTTCTTTCTCTCCCCTTCTCCCCCTCTCTCTCTTTCCCTCTCCAACTCTCCTCTCATCTCCTTTTCTCTATCCCTCTCCTCTCTCCCCCCTCTCTCTGAAAGCTCATTTAGACTAGAACCAGCTCAGCTATGAGAACATGCTCTGCCAGGCCTAAGTGGATTTACATATTGGATTTCAGGGAGGCTGTAGCGAGCGCAGCCCTGTGTAAGACATGGAGTCCCACCGGGGGCCTTAGAAAGGATGATAATGCTTGTTTTCACTGTTAATGCCACCACACACTCAAACACACACACATATGTTCTCCCTCTCACACACACACTAGCGATGCGCGGGTTGACTTATAACCCTCAGTCCCCGCTGTTATATCCGCGGGGCGGACAGGTTTAGGGTCATTAAATATTGTGTGGCTGAAGGGTGGGTGGGTGGGTGACGGGCATGTTGAAGAAAGAGAAAACAATACCTTAAAAAATCCATGTGCAATTTATATAGGCTACATTTAGGTTTTTCTTTCATTATTTTAGGCTGCGAAAGGAGAGTTAAAAAAATAAAGAGATGGGAAGGCCAGAAAAGTAATGTTTGGAAAAGATTTGGTGAAGGGGTAAAAGAGGATGATAGCAGTGCCAGCTATGTTATGTGTGATGATTGTGAGGTGCTTTACCAGTTGGACAGTCACAAGACAGGACTTCAAATAGGCCTATGGCATGTCAAGGGAACTGTAGCCTACTGTTTAGATGGGTTAAATGGAAACTGAAATCTGGACACTGACTGTAGGTCTATAACCTCTCACATAGCCATCATATTAACTCCTGCAGAATTAAGCATTTCTTGCAGTAAAATGATAGGCAAAATTTGGATTTTAGAACAGAAATATGATTGATTTATTTCTGCATCTTGAGAGAATGCAATGCTCAGTTAGATACCATCTGTAGAGGTGCTGTCTTCATCATAAAAGCATCATAAAAGCTGGTAGTATTTCAACCACATAAAAATGCATCGAAGCCGAACTGAAATCTTATCAGAAACATTTTGGGTCATTTTCACCGCCTTTTCCCCTTACAACCGATCAAACTGATGTCATTTGGACATTTTGCACAGAAAATCTTTTTTTTCCGTTATTGGGTTGTCTTCCCAGTCCTAAATGTTTTTGCTCCACGAAAGATGACAGAGAGAACTTTACCGATGTCAACTAGACTGAAGCATTCAATTCTATAGATCTATGACATCATTCTGGTGAGTAAGGGTTTATTTAGTCTTCTAGGGCAACATATAATTACAGAATAGAAGCTTCATGTATCTAATTATTGACAAGTTGACTAACAAATAGCCTACCAAAAGGTCGGAAATTATAAGCAGAAACATATCTAAATCAGGCCAAAAAAATTCCCGCACCCCCTGTCAGAAAATCGTTCTGCCGACTTTGACTGTAGCCTATGGAGCATTTTCTATATTTGCGAGTTAGGGTTGGGTGCGGGCCTCAGTTTTTCACTTTATCACACATAGTCGGGCGGTTGCGGATGGGTTATTAGCAATTGCGGGCGGGTGAACAAACAGCTGACCTGCGCACCACTAACCCCAGGGAGTAAAGCTAAATCCATATTTTTCTCTGGAAGTGTCCAACTAGAACACTGAACCTGTCAATGACCTCTTCACCCTGAGTCTGACAGAGGTTGATGTTACTCATAATTCATCTAGCAGAGGGCGAGGGGAATTCTAGATTACACATGCACTGTTTCCTCTCCCTCTCTCTCTCCTTCGGCCTCTCTGCCTCTCGCTCGCTCTCTCTCTCACTCTCGCTCCCTCCTTCCCTCCCTCCCTCCCTCTGTCCAGGGGAAGCCCGCTCATTACTCTGTCAGGGTAAACACATCCAGGCTGTGTGTTAGCGGAACGTGGAACAGAGTTGGGGCCGTGCCCACATCCAACAAGGCCAGCGGGCCCTAATGATAGGCCAGGGTGGGGCCCAGCCTTCAGCCCAATCCCAGGCCCTATGCATCTCATATCCAGCCTAAACCCAAACTGTGTCCCAAATGGCACTCTATTCCCTACAAAGTTCACTACTTTTGATGAGAGCCCTATTGGCCCTGGTCAAAAGTATTGCACGACAGAGGGAATAAGGTACCATTTGGGACACACACCTAAACCTAAAGCCTCAGCATCCACCATGCACCATCCAACATATCTATTTATACCTCCCTCTGCATCCTTATGAAAGGAGGGCTGTTAATAACCCAGTGATTGAAACCCAGTATGTGTTTGTATATGTGTGTGTATGTGCGTGTGAGTGTGGTACCGCAAACCATACAAAGGAGCAGCTGAATGCAAGTTTAACATGTGTCCTCTCTCTCACTCTCTTGCCCTCTCTCTCTCTCTCTCTCTTTCTCTCTCTCTCTCTCTCTCCTCCGCAGCTCCCACTCCCCTCCCCACCATGCTGGCATCCACCACTCTGTCAGACGAGTGTGATGATGACCAGGCCAGCTGCCACAGTGGAACAGGTGATGACTACGATGTGACAGGTGCTAACATCACTCTCATGAGACTGCTATCGCCCCTACCTCTCTGCCCCTACTCTCGCTATATACTGTACTAACCCAGCATACACACATATTCACACACACAGGCAGACAGACAGACAGCCGTGTTCTCTTTCTAGCCTGACCTCTTTCCCCACTAACCTAATTATAACCTGCCTTACTGCCCCTGCCTTCAACCTTGCTATACCTTGCTGTTCCTTATGGATACGTCCTAAATTCCACCCTATTCCCTTCATAGTGCACTTCATTTGGCCAGGGCCCCTAGGGCTGTGGTTAAAAGTAGGTCAATATATAGGGAATAGGGTGCCATTTGGGACTTAGCCGTAGAGTTATCTTTATGGCTATTCCTCCCTCCTAACCCTATTTTAAAGCAGCAGTCTCCAGCGATCAGTGATGTGCATGGCACTCTGCATCACTCTGGTTCTCTCCCTCCTGGCCCTATACTGTATGTAGTGAAAGAGGGAGTGTGGAAGTGTTTGGTATGAGTTAAGAGAGATAGAATGAGAGGGGGCATCCGTTTGAACCAGAATAAACGAGGAGGATGCTAATGTGTAGGATGCTTCTCTTTCTGTCAGCAAGGCTCCTTTTTAAGTATAGCCTTAACACAGACGAGTGTCCGCCAGAGGGAAGCTATCTAAGCTAACTGAGGTACATTGTGTTCTTAGCTAGAGGAAGCTAGGCTAACTGTGCTACACTGTTATGTGTTATTAGCATCCTCCTCCTAACTCAGTTTGTAGAGCATGGCGCTTGTAACAAAAGGGTAGTGGGTTTGATTCCCGGGACCATCCATACGTAAAATGTATGCATGACTGTAAGTCGCTTTGGATAAAAGCGTCTGCTAAATGGCATATATATACAGTATATTTAACGCTGTTATGTGTTATGGCGAGGCTAACTGTGCTGCCACTGTATTGTTGTTCTGACAGGTGGAACCACAGTGCCAGAGGGCAAGACAGAGGTGGACACCATCCCAGGTTAGGATCCATTGTATTATCAATGTACTGTATAGACTCTTGTGACTGTTTGTGTTTGAGTGGCTTTGAATGCATGTGTGCGCCTGTGAGGTGAATTTGTGTGTGGGTGGATACCATTTAAGAAAAATGTGTTCTCTAGTATTCCTCAGATGTGAACTGTGGGGCTGCTCATTTTACGGGGAGCTTGTCAGTATCCCTGCTTCAGTCCTCCCTAGAATGGAAAAAACTAAAAGCCCTCTTAACTGGGAATGGAATTTCTTCACAAAATGTTTCTGTGTGCCTGAAATGTGGTTCCACATGAGAATTCCATCCTTTGTGTTTAATGGGTAAATATATTCTGGTGCCTGCAGAAACTAGTTAAAACCCAGAGATTATTAGGGAATATTGGCTCACATTTTTTATCCTTTGGTGAGCTGGGGCCTTAGTGCTCAACGCACACAGACACACAGGTTTTCTGAGGCATAGCTGACATCCTAAACATATCTCTGTTGTGCTGCTTCTTTGGAAGTCTCTTTCTTTATCCAATTTGATAAGAAAGCAAGGCTCCCCATCGCCCCGCTCTCACACGTGTGTGTGTGTGTGTGTGTGTATGTGTGTGTGTGTGTGTGTGTGTGTGTGTGTGTGTGTGTGTGTGTGTGTGTGTGTGTGTGTGTGTGTGTGTGTGTGTGTGTGTGTGTGTGTGTGTGTGTGTGTGTCCATAGAGGGATTGTGTGTCAGGAATGCGAGTCCTTTCTATTAGCCATATCTGCCTTTAGAGTCCAACAGGGCTCTGCTCTGCTCATTATAAAGACCTCACACTGGGCACACACTGGTTGAATCAATGTTGTTTCCACATCATTTCAATGGAATTACGTTGAACCAAAGTAGAACAGACATTGAATTGACGTCTGTGCCCAATGGGCTCTGTCTCAGTAGGCTGCTGTGAAGGAAAACACACACACAATCTCTCTCTCTCTCTCTCCGTCTCTCTCCTCTCGCCTGCTATGTAGCCCTTTACTGTCATTGTACACTTTATTTTATGAACCCATATCACGTTCACAGGCCCTTTTATTAAAATAGATCATTAACTGGATTTATTCAACATCTCACTCCTTGCAAAGTCTGCATTGAGTCTCTTCACTATCCCCCTCCTACCACCACCACCCTATTCTGTCAAGAATTTACCATCCTCTAATTCTCTCTCCCTTTCTCTGTCATTGTTTTTTGTATCTACCCTTTCCTCTGAGATTTGAGTTTCACAGTTCTCTGCTACCCTCTAGTGGTTTACCTAAATAATCCACCTCCACAAGACTCACTGAATCTAGTCTACTGGACCCTCAGCTCATCACAAATACTCTCGGAGTATATCTCCCAGTACCATGTTGAAACAATGGTCTATTTCAACCAGTCTGTGTTCTTACCCTGACCCCTGTCACACCACAGAATTAAATAGAATCTCCATTTAAAAAAATGTTTTTGTCCAGGACAAGGCTTTATCTGTGTCCAGGAAACCGCCCCTATTTATATGTATCTTTATGAGACACACTGACCTGTGATCTGTCCCCCTGTCTGCAGCGTTCCTGTGGTTTGCGTGTGACTTTGGCTGGGCCAACGACCCCTCGTTCTGCGACTGGACCTCAGAGGACAGCGTCTTCAGATGGCAGATACAGTCCAGCGGCACGCCCACGCTCAACACCGGACCCAACATGGACCACACAGGTACAGACACAACAGCAACAACAACAGAAGCTAATGATAACAGTATACGTCATTTATGTCCAGTGTACAAACTGTCAAAACCAAGGGTTGTCACTAGATGATTTGTTTCCCCACCACTATTTTAGCTGAAGAGTGATGTCATCACCTACCCCTTTTCTCATTGGCTATTCCAACTTTATAATTTCCCTCTTCAGGCGGATCCGGTAACTTCATCTACACCCTAGCGACGGGCGCCCAGGAAACTGAGGTTGCTAGGCTGGTCAGTCCGGTGGTGACAGCCGGTCAGTCTGACTTGTGCGTGTCGTTCTGGTACCACATGTTCGGCTCGCACATTGGCACGCTGCACATCAAACAAAGGAAGGAGACGGTCGACGGCATGGCTGACATACTGCTGTGGACCGTCAGCGGTCACCAGGGCAACCGCTGGAGAGAGGGACGCGTGCTGGTGCCGCACTCCAGTAAACCCTATCAGGTATGGTATGGAGAGAGAGTCTCCATACACTGAACTATAAGCTTGGACAGATCAATGTAGTATCATATACATTACAACTATGTTTGACGTGTATAAATACAACATGTTTGAATTGCAGGGCCAGTTTTGTTTGATTCGTTTTGTTTGATTAGTGCTACTTAGTGATTGGCGAGGTGATAAAGTTAGAATTGTGAAATGAGTTGCTGAGAGGTTGTTCTAGGCTTGTTAAAAGGTTGTTAAATACAGGTAAAAAATCATAATAACTGTTCTCTCTCTCCCAGGTGGTGATTGAAGGGTTGGTGGAGAGAAAGAGTTGGGGTGACATTGCTGTGGATGATATCAAGATCCTGGACAATCTGAACATGGCTGACTGCAAGGGTAAGTGTCACTTTGCTACATTGATCTTTCGAGCTGGATTTGAACCAGTGACCTAAGGACACCAGTGTGTACAGGCCTGACATTTAGGGATGGTTTCCCAGACACAGATTAAGCGACGTCCTGGACAAAAAATCTAACTCAATGGAGATTCGCCATTGAAAGTGTTTCTTTGTCCAGGATTAGGCTTAATCTGTGTCCGGATAATTGGCCCTCTATGTCATGTTCAATGTAAAGAGTGAGCTGATTTTTCTACTATTGTGCTGTAGGGAAGGACTTTTGTAACTGACTCGTCCTGTCATTTTCAATAGATCCTGATGTTCCCACAGAGACCATGCTGCCTGAAGACCGATTTAATGAAATCAGTATGTCACCATATTACATATTAATACAAAACGTCTATGGGGTTGAGTGTTGTAAAACAGAGTAACATACTTATGATGAAATGTATTACCAATACAGTAGATTTCACTAATACGTCCATCTGCACACCCTCTACCTCTCTCTCTCTCTCTACTCTGTAACACAAAGGTTAGGGATTCAGTGTTGGAAAAATAATAACAAGCATTGTCCAAACATATGCAACAGCTATCTACAAAGCTGTAGATTTCCCTGAATAGTGCGATGGTTGAAAATCAGATTAATGTTGTCCATATAGCTCACATAACGCATGTCTACTCACCCTCTTCTTCTTCTCTCCTGTAGTTGTGGACATCACAGACCTCCCTGACATCATGGAGAACAATGAGATCCTCAATGGTGTCAGTGGCGGGGCAGGCAACATGCTGCAGACACTGGACCCCATCCTCATCACCATTATCGCTATGAGTGCCCTGGGGGTCTTCCTGGGGGCCATCTGTGGGGTAGTCCTCTACTGTGCCTGCTCACATGGCCACATGTCCAACAGGAACTTATCCGCTCTGGAGAACTATAACTTTGAGCTTGTGGACGGAGTCAAGCTAAAGAAGGACAAACTCAACTCACAGAACTCATACACAGAGGCATGAATGGGAAGGGGGAAGTGAGATGTGTGTGTGGGGAGTGCAGCACGCCATGAGCGTGCACAAGACTGTAGGCATAGCCAAGACTCAATGAGTGGCTGGGGTTAAAGGGACTGCGGGAGGCCTCTCATTGGAGGAGGCCCAGGTTCAGGAACCAATAGGAGGTTGTGACTGATCCATTGCTTTTCTCAGGAGCTGCAGTAATGGGAACATACCAGTAGGGGACACTGTGTACAAAATTAAATACAGGAGGAAAAAATATGTACAGATGTTTAGATTATTATTTAAATTGTTCTATTTGATTTTCATTCATTTTTACAATATGATGCTGGTGTTGAGACCAATTGAATTATCATAATATTTAAAGAATTTATCATTTTCTGTGAGGAAGAAACCTTTTTGTTATTATAATTATTTTAAATCAAAGAAATGTTTGTGTTGAAGGAGAAGTATCAAAACCCAAAATTAACCATAACTGACAATGTTGTTGGTCATACTGCACCATGGTGGAGTAGCGGCAGGGTGTGCCCCCTGCCCCCCTGCCCCCCTGACCTCTGCCCCTGTCTACAGGTGTGGGTCAGAGGTTAAAGGTAAAGATTGCGCCCCTTGACAGTAGATGGTTCTGACAGTGCCTTTAATACATATTTGTTGGCCTCTTCTGTTGATTTTTTGAGTTTTTACATTTCTTACGTTCTGACAACGTTGTGACATCTGAAGCAGGGGCTTTAAATGAGCTAATAATCAAGTCTGCAAAACAGGATCCAATTCATCCATGGCGCTTTTCTCTCTCTGTCCCAGACCCACATATAATTGTATATACGTTTTAATATATTTTAATTATTTTTAAGAAAAAAAAAGAAAAAAAGCTGCAGTATCCCTTTTTCCAATGGGTTGTGTGTTGTAAATCCAATCATCTGTCTGTTGTTGTGAAGAGTGAAGTGTTTTGGTTTTATTGTTTCATTTCGAGCAGGCTCTGTGTGCTGTGTGAAGATAGGCCGGTGCACATTCAAAAAAGACATGTTCTTGTTCTACATTTTCTAGATGCAATCCACTTCATGGCACCCCGGGGAGGACGAAGAAGAAGTTACCATAAACACAAAATGAAAAAAGAAAACAGTTGTATTCATGTTATTAACTTCTATACACTAATTAACACATGGCAGCCACACACCCCATATCATTCTGTGGTCACAGGGCCTGTCATCTCTCATATCAACGGCAGCAGTGGAGGAAGATATGTAGAATGTCTGTCTGCCAGCATACCAAAAAATAAATTTTGCTTTGCTTTAGCTACATGGAGTTGACCAGTGGCTAGTTATCTCCAGCTACATTCATCTGTGGATTGTCCTACAAAAAAGTGCTAACTTTTACGACCATGCACTTTGTCATCCAACATCTAAATCCTCACTAATGAGATATACTGAGGGTTGGAGGGTTACACATACTGAGTTATATCAACGGTGCTATCGCATTCATACTGCAGGCTAGATGCTCATAATCATAACTATAACACAGTTTGTATTGTATTGTCACATACTTTACACTACTACGGCCTAGTCGTGCCGTAAGGTTTATGTGTAACGTGTAGCAGCCATACGTTGTGATGTCAAGGCTGATTTCATTAGGAAGGGACGCTGGTACAGAGCTAAGGGGTTGAGTGATGTCATCAAGCATTGCGAATCAGGCCACTTGCCCTGTTGTCATTACCAAAGGATGATTGGATACCTCTTCTACTAGGGGAGGGGTTTGTTATCAGCACAATACTACTACTACTGGACTGCAGCATTTCAACCACAACCACCCCTTTTTTAACAAATGTTCACAGTAAATGGACCTCTTTCATTGCACTGACTGGACTCCCGGCAAAGTCAAGAGGGGAAGGTGGGTTGACAGTAGAAACGATAATGTTCGATGGTTCATATTTTTTCAGCTGAAGTTGCGTCAACTGTGAACTCTCTGAAATCTCAAGACTCTTGGATTTCAGACTCACTCTACCAATGGATCTAGCTATCAATCCTCCTAGAGAGTTTGGGATGGGGAAGTAAGGGGATCTGTAGTAAGGACTTAGTAAGAGGCTCACAGTATCAGGTCTGAGGAGGACCATTGGAAATGCCCAGTGGATTTTCTACACCACAACCATCAGAGAGACATAATGATGTTGAACAGGACGACATCTGCTATATCTGTGTGCTATGTCATGTGCTGTGGTGAACACATTCTCAGCTTGGCTTTTGTTCATTTCAGGTTTGATGTCCCACTTTGCAATGCTTACTGTTTTGTGCATTCAGCTTCGAGGACAGTAGCCTCAGTCTGGTAACTAGAGAAAAAGGATACTGTAGCGTGGAAACTAAAAAGAAACTATGTTGCACTGATAAATATATTCAATAAGGTTGTTATTTGTAAAGAAAAGCAAAAACTGAGAAAAAACTTCATATTCTTTCTTATTTTTTAAAGTTTCAGATTATGTGATATAATTCTGAAATGTACAAATTATTGAGATGTTTTCATTATTGAAAAAGGTATACAAATTTCCTATAGTAATGTCCCCATTTACCTGGATTATTATTGCTTTGTTTTGTACTGTCATTAACATTTTGTGCAACTTCTTTTTACAAAAAAAAGTGTATTTTCAATACTGCTTCTACTATATACTTAATTCTGTAATTTGCTGTTGTAGGAAAAGATGAATAAACAGCAAGGCCTTTAAAAACTGAACAGAACGTTTGTGTTGTTAGAGTTGTGGTTGAAACGACTGTTATTTGAGTTGAACATGCTGGTGGTTTGGGTGTGGGCTACTGTGATGGTGTGTTGATAAGAACACAGGAGGAGATTAAGGTACAGTTCAAAGGGCTATCGCCCGGTTTATTTGGTAGGAATGGAAGGGGTGATATATTTTAGAAGGTTCTGGATGGTTGATCTACAAACAAGGGAAAGAACATACACGGTAGTCATAAACTAATAGAATACAAATAAACCCAAATGTATACTACAATATATACACTCCACTACGTATGCATTTGGATAGTGATGCAAAAAATAATAATTTGGTTCTATACTCTATACAGCATGTTTCATATGACAGCACATAATGTCACCTTTTATTTGAGTGTTTTTTCATGCATACAGTGCCTTCGGAAAGTATTCACACCCCTTGACTGTTACAGCATGAATTTAAAATAGATTAAATTGAGATTTTTTTTTGTCACTGGCCTACACACAATACCCATAATGTCAAAGTGGAATTTTAATTAATTAATTAAAAATGAAAAGCTTAAATGTTGTGAGTCAATAAGTTTTCAACCCCTTTGTTATGGCATGGTTTGTTATGTTGTTTAACAATTCACATAAGTTGCATGGACTCACTCTGTGTGCAATAATAGTGTGTTTAACATTATTTTTGAATGACTACCTCATCTCTGTACCCCACACATACAATAGTAAGGTCCCTCAGTTGAGCAGTGAATTTCAAACACAGATTCAACCACAAAGACCAGGGAGGTTTTCCAATGCCTTGCAAAGAAGGGCACCTACTGGTAGGTAAAAAAACAAAACAAAAAAACAGACATTGAATATCCCTTTGAGCATGGTGAAGTTATTACACTTTGGATGGTGTATCAATACACCCAGTCGCTACAAAGATACAGGTGTCCTTCCTAATTTAGTTGCCGTAGAGGAAGGAAACCACTCAGGGATTTCACCATTAGGCCAATGGTGACTTTAAAACAGTTACAGAGTTTAATGGCTGTGATGGGAGAAAACGGAGGATGGATCAACAACATTGTAGTTACTCCACAATACTAACCTAACTGACAGAGGGAAAAGAAGGAAGCCTGTACAGAATAAAAATATTCCTATTCGCAACAAGGCACTAAAGTAATAATGCAAACAATGTGTCAAAGCAATTAACTTTTTGTCCTGAATAAAAAGTGTTAGGTTTGGGGCAAATCTGATACAACACATTAATTAGTACCACTCTCCATTTTTTCAAGTATAGTGGTGGCTGCATCATGTTATGGGTATGCTTGTAATCTTTAAGGGCTGGGGAGTTTTTCAGGATAAAAAATTAACGGAATGGAGCTAAGCACAGGCAAACTCCTATAGGAAAACCTGGTTCAGTCTGCTTTCCACCAGAAACTGGGAGATGAATTCACCTTTCAGCAGGACAATAACCTAAAACACAAGACCCACTCTACACTGGTGTTGCTTACCAAGAACACAGTGAATGTTCCTGAGTGGCCGAGTTACAGTTTTGACTTAAATCTATTTGAAAATCTATGGCAAGACATGAAAATGGTTGTCTAGCAATGATCAACAACCAATTTGACAGAGCTTTAAGAATTTTGAAGAGAATAATGGGCAATTGTTGCACAACCCAGGTGTGGAAAGCTCTTAGAGACTTACCCAGAAAGACTCACAGCTGTAATTGCTGCTAAAGGTGCTTGTACAAAGTATTGACTCAGGGGTGTGAATACTTATGTAAATGAGATATTTCTGTATTTCATTTTCAATACATTGTAAAGATTTCTAAAAACAAGTATTCACTTTGTCATTATGGGGTATTGTGCGTAGATGGGTGAGAAAAAAAATCTATTTAATCCATTTTGAATTTAGGCCATAACCAATGATCCCTCTAAACTGCGCGCAACTGCCCTGGGACAGCTGCGCAGAATAAATAAATATCAGCCCACAGAGAGAAGCACGAGATGTAATTTCACTCAACTCTCTAGAGCAGTGGTCGGTCACCAACTGGTTGATCGCCAAGGCATTCCTAGTCGATCGGCAAACATTTCTGTAAAAAACCCAACGATAAAGCCTTCCGTTCCTATTTTTTTTTTTTGTCTCAGGCTGTTGCCTGTAGGTGCACCTGATTCAGCTGCCGTGCGCACCGGGTAGGCGAACTGTTGCCATCTTGAACCATTTAATGTGTCTGAAGGTACAAACTTTGTTTTACCGGTGTGCCCGGAGAGCATATCAAGTGCACTATAGGCCTACCGCTGGCCAATCGG